TAATTTCTCTCTTTTCTTTTTTGGGGGTTTTTTTTGGTTTTGGGTTTTTTTTTTTTTTTTTTTTTTTTTTAAATATCCAAATCACATGATTATGTTTTTTTCTCAGGTATTCAGATAACAGTCATTATCCAAGTGACAACTTTTCTTTAGAAGGATATATAGTCTTTATTCATTTGCTGATAAATCCAGTAGCTTGGCTGTGTGGCTAGTGATTAACAGCAGTCATTCCCACTCAAAATCGAACCTACTGTTGGTTCAAAGAAGTAGTCTTATTTGGCATGCATCCTTTCCTTCAGTGTGGTGTACCTCCTGGATTTGTATCCTGTCCTGTGCTCTGCCTGAGGCAGTGATGTAAACCCTTATTATTTTAACTGGAGACCTTGGGAACTAGACCTTAGGTCTAGAAAGAAAAATGAATTAAAAAGAACAAGAAGATTTTACAAAACCTGTTTCTTCTCTCTGTAAATTGTGTCTAAAATTAAAAAAGCTAAATCAAGGAAGACACTTATTTTGCATTTGGGGTTTGCTTTTGTGAAAGCACAAAACTGTTTTACATTTTATTTGGAATATAATTTAGATCTGGAAATAAGATTTACTTGTTCAGACAGATGTAAGACAGTCCTGTAGTGCAGGACTTGCATAAAAATTGGTTTGTATAGTTGCTTATTTATAATAATAGTAATAATCCATTGGACAGTTTTTTTATGTCAAAGAAGGTCATATGCTTTCCATTGTTTTCTCTTTGTTTTTCCCTTCAGGTGTAATGTAGCATCAAGAGTTTAAAATGCATGTACTTTACTGAGGACAGTTACATTTGCTTAAATCGGGGACCCCATGTACAGATTTAATTTACTCACAAAGCAGGCCTGTAATATGGGTTCTTGTGAAAGGTTACTGCTGTCAGACACAGGGTAGTTGCAAATTAATACTTGGGACCCATTCAATAGTTATGTAGATGATTATTGGTCATGAGCTGTTTACCTGAACAGGTACAGTGGAAACACATAAGAGAAAGAACTTAGTTGTCTGACTTCAGGTGCTAAGAGAAAGTTGAGTTCCTACGCAACAGAGTCTGGGAGACAGCCACACACCTTTCTTTTTGGCTCTGCCCCGAGTGCTTGTCTCTTGTAACTGTGCATGCATGTAACCTTCATCTGTGGCCTGCAGTGGATCAGCTACTGGGGTGCTGGACCTAGTGAGGTGGGTTAGAGGCGAACCTCGTCACATGCCTAGTTGCTCAAAGACTTACTTGTCGTTGTGGGGAATTAGGGTGTAGAAAATGAATGCCTAAATAAGTTAACTTTTATGTTGTCTCACTACCCCTAGTAAAGCCATTCTACAGAGGACTGATCACAAGGTGCCTTAGGAACAAGGAGTATCTTTGAAATAAGAGCCATAGATGTCATTAATCCAAGGGACGACTTCTCCTTGTTTCTCTGCCCGTTTGGGTAGAGGGGAGGCAATTCCTAAGGTCAGGCAAGAAGAGCCCCTGTAGGCTGTTCCTGGAGGCTTAAGCTATTCCTTAGACTGCTTTGTTGCTGTAAGATGAGCATGTTGCGTGAAGGGAGGGGGTTAGGTGTGGCTAAGGGAGAGACAAATTTAGTAAGAGACAAATCCCCTTGCTTTCTAGCTGGTCCTCAGATATTAGAGGGGCTAAGGGCAGCTGAACTTGTCTCTTAATAGGTTCCAATTATGGCTGTGACTATAGGTCTGACACCAGATGCACAAACAGCCTGGTGCTGTAGGTCTGGCTGCATTCAACAGAAGCCGTCAGATTCACGAATAGCACGGTTTATTGACACGCAACATGCAGATTCTTTGTGATTGCCGGTGATAAATACACTAAGCTGCAGAATAGCTATATAGCTCTAAAAATGCAATTGCAATTACAATAATAATAATAATCTCCCGGGGAAAAATCACTCGGCAGAGCCGAGGCCGTAAATCTTACCAAAAGGTGTCCCTTCTGGGGAGGGGCGAGGAGAACAAACCCGTCGGTCAGTCCCTACGACTTGGTGCTGAATTCTTGTCCCACAAGCTGGGTCCAAAAAGGGATGACATTTACTTCTTTTTTTTCTGTTATTGATGGGTAAAGTGTGGGGATGGGGCTGTGGGCAGACAATTGTTCCATGTAATCAGCACGAAACTCCCTTATCTCCAC